GATAAATGGAACAGAACCGAGTGTAGAAATAAACCCTTACATGCATGCTCAATTCATTTTTTACAAAAATATCGAAGTAATTCATTTGGAAAAAGAATAATTTTTTCAACTAATGGTTCTGAGCCAACTTGATAGCAACATGTAAAAAGATGGACTTAAGCCCTTCATACCGTACACATAAATTAATTCGAAATAGATAATAAATTTAAATGGAAGAACTAAAAGTAGAAAATTTTTCAAAGAAAACAGAAGATCTTGATGACCTACCTTGCTTTAGGCAGAAATTTTAGATGACACCAAAAGCTCAATCCATAAAATATTAAAACTGATAAATTAGGAGAAGTTTTAAATTTTGTGTTTCAAAAGATACCATTAAGAAAACAGACTAAGAGAAAATAATTTCTGTAATAAAAGACAATAATCAGTGTTGAGGATGTAGAGATATTTGGTGAGGTGATGGGAAATATACTAAAACTGGATTGTGGTTATGTTTACAGTTCTGTAAAGAATACCTCAGAAGGTGTTAAAAAGAAAATATAGCTGTACCACTACACTAACTCCCACTTTATAGTATTGAAGCAAATTAGACAATACCACAAGGAAACATATAAATGTGGAGCATTCTGTAAGATAAATGACTTACAATGTTAAGGACAAACAAATAAGAAAGCAGGAAACTATTCCAGAAATAAAGACCAAAGATGCACAGCCAAACATGATGCATCAATTCCGATTACATTCTGCAGACACAAAAAAACAGACAGACATTTCGGGAATAGTAGGGGAAGTTTGAAGATAGACTGAATATCAGGTGATAACATGAATACTGTTATGTGTGGTAATAGTTTTACTTGCTTACAGAATGCCCTCATTTTTAGATGTTTTCTGAAATATTTAGGATTGAAGTAACCAGGGAATTTGTAACATACTTTCTGATAGTTCAGAAGAAAAGATGTATTTAAAAGTTCATTTTGCCTCTTTAAATTTTACTGTAGGTTTGAAATTTTTGAAAAAGTGGGAGAGAAACTCAATTATATTCCTGTATACCAGGAATGACATTTAAAAAAAAATATGATTAATAGCATCTAAATATATGACATACCTAGGAATGAATACATATATACACAATGTACAAGACTCTTTTGATGATTATAAAATTTGATTAAGAGCCGAAGTCGGTTTGGCTCAGTGGTAGAGCATCAGTCTGCGGACTGAAGGGTCCCAGGTTCGATTCCGGTCAAGGGCATGTACATTGGTTGCGGGCACATCCCTTGTAGGGGGTGTGCAAGAGGCAGCTGGTCAATGTTTCTCTCTCTTAGACGTTTCTAGCTCTCTCTCTCCCTTCCTCTCTGTAAAAAATTAATAAAATATATTAAATAAAAATTTGATTAAGACATTAAAAAGACTTAAATAAGAGATATATCATGTTCTTGGATTAGAAAGTCCAATATAATTATGTAAATTCTCTCCAATGGCTTACAGAATCATTGCCACCCCAATCAAAATCTCAATCTGTTTGGTTTGTTTAGGTTTTGAGAGGAAATTGATAAGCTGTTTCTAAAATTGATATGGAAGAGCAAAGAACCAAGAACAGCCACAAGCTCTTCTTGAAGAACAAGAAGGTGAAAGGATTTGCTATTCTATGTATCAAAACTTTTTAAAAAGATAGAGTAATGGAAAAGAGTGTGTAGTGGCACAGGAAGAGACCAATTACAAAAACAAAAAAATCACACACACACACACACACATCTTTGCACTGATCACACCCTTAATACATAACAGAGAAGGCACTGTAACGCCGTTGGGAAAGGAAGTTCTTTTCAATAAACAGTGCTGGGACAACAGACCAACCATATAAAGTGGCAAAAATATTACTTCATATGGCATTTCTGTATAGGATGAAACTTCAATGTGAGAGGCAAAATTATAAAGCATTTAAGAAGAGAATATCAACCATATTCATACCTAGAGAGTAAAAATATTTTTAAATAAAATATAAGACATGCTAACCATAAGAAAAAAATTGGTCAAGAACAATGTGAAGAGACAAGCCACACATTGGGAAAAGATTTTGCAGCACAACTCATAAAGGAGTAGTATCCAGAATATATAAAGAACCCTCTGCAAATTACTGAGAAAAATGGATAAAACTTTAACATATACTTCACTCACCAAAGATTAACTCTAAGTAGCCAAATAAACACACTGGATTTTCATATGCTGGCAGTATGAAAGTTAGTCAAGTCTTTGTGAAGAACAATGTATATTTTAACATAAAGAGATGTTCGGCCTCATTTGATGGAAAATGCCTTAAATCCATGAGATAACACTATACAGGCCAATAGATTGGTAAAAAATTAAGAAGAAAAGTACACCCGTGGGGGAACGTAAATCAGTGTAAGAGTTTCTAAGAAATAGTTTGACATGATCTTGCAAAGTAGAATCTAACAAACCCAGTGCCTCTGTGGTTCTGCCTTAGGTATAGATCCTTTTAAAAATGAAAACTCCAAAATACACATACAAAATATCCAGAGCAACACTATTATATCCCCAAATTGGAAACAACCCAGATGTCGAGAGTTAAATGGAAAAATAAATTGTAATATATTCATACAACGAAATAAGCAAACTCTAGCTACATAGTTATTTGAACAAATCTCATGTTTAGCAAAAGAAGTCTCAAAAGTATACAATAAAATTTAATTCATATAAATTTCAAAACCAGGAATTAAATATTATATTTAGGGACATAAATATGGGTGGTAAAATTATAATGAAAAGCAAAGAAATGAAGGGTGGAGATGCTGTTGAGGAGAGAAGGGATTATGAGAGGATTATATGGGGGAATTTAGATGTTACCAATATTCTATTGACCTGGGTGGTTATATGGGTTTTTACTTTACAACTATTTGTTTAAAATACATGTGAGCATATGTGTGTGTTTGTGTATACACACTGTATACATTCCACAATAAGAAAATATTTTAAATGACCAGTAACTATGAAAAGATGTTCAACTTCACTAGTAATTAAACGAAAAGTGAAATAATGATCACTTATCATGATTTGACTAAAATGTAAAACACTTAATACCCATTTTTGCCAACGTGGTAAAAAAAAAAAAAATGGGCATCCTCATATGTTGTCAGTAGAAAAGTAAATTAGTAAAAGCCTTTTTTAAAGAACAATGTGGCTCTTGGCTGGCACTGCTCAGTGACCGGGAGGTCATGGCTTGATTCTTGGTCAGGGCACAGGCCTGAGTTGCAGGCTCGATCCCCAGTGTGGGATACACAGGAGGCAGCCGATCAGTGATTCTCTCTCATCGTTGGTATTTCAATCTCTCTCTCCCTCTCTCTTCCTCTCTGAAATCAATAAAAACATATTTTAAAAAAAGAACAATGTTGCTATATATATAAAATGTAAATCCATACATCTTGTAAATTACCAATTCCAATTTTAAATATCCTAATGAAATACTAGCACATGTACTCAAAATATGTGTACAAAGATGTTCACCATTCATGACAGCATTGCTTGCAATTGTGAAAAAAATAAATGTGAACAAGGGATAATTTATGAAAAGTGTCATAACCTATACAATACTATGCAACTACCAAAAATTAAGATAAACTTTGTGACCCAACATGAAAAGGCATGAAGTAAACTAAAGCCATTGAACAATTCATAAATTTAAAACATAATCCTGTTTGAAAGTATAAATGTGTGTGTGTGTGTGTGTGTGTGTGTGTGTGTGTATGAAAAACAGCTACAAATTTATCCTATAACCTGTTAGCAGTGATAACATCTGGGGCAGGGAGTGGTAATGGGAGAAGCAGGATCCAGAGGGCACTTTAACATCTTACTCTATATTTTATCATAGGAATATTCTATAAGAACATATCCATGGGCTACTTGCACATTTTTAACAGGTAGCAATAGAAGAACAACTGGATTGTTATTCATTCTATTCCTATAAGAACTGAAAACTTTGCTTTCAAAGCTGGTTCCTTCGTTCCTGCAGGACCTGGGGAGCCTATGGCTGCGTTACAGGGCTGTCAGCCATCCTGAGGAGTGCTGGGGAGGACACTAAGTGACTTGGTCCATCGCAGGCTCGCCCCTTGAAAATATATATTTGCATACATTCTCACATCCCGGCTCACTGGCAATAGCAATAATGTTTTCCCAGAGCACTTTGCTAAAGTAAGTAAATTCTGACACTACTCATCAAGTCACAACCACACTGAAGTGTAGATGTGGCTGTCAAGATGCATGTTGAGATCTAAATTAGTAATCACACCCTCGATGAGTGACTTCTGGAATAAGCAGTTTGTATTTGCATTCATAGGAAGAACCTGGTCCCAGGGAATCATAAGACAGAGCTTTTATTTTTCATCTTCTCTCCCCTCATTCCACCACAGTCCTTTCTGAAAGGAACTATTTCCTATAAAAATGTAAGAGAGGGAAACCTGATCATGAGTTTTTTGGAATTAGTAGCAAATCAAAATAAAAGGCACTATCAGTATATTTATGAAGGAAAATCCAACTACATGCACACACATTTTGGTATTTTATTTTTGATTGGAATCATATCCATGAGGAAAATTACCAAAGCATCCTTTACTGTTTTGACAGCTAGGCCCTTGCTGTGTCAGAGGAAGAAGGCAAAACTAAGCCAGCAGAGAGGGAGATGCCCTGTCTCCAGGAACTCAATGGCAGAGGAGCCGTCTAGGAAACGCCTTTGGAGTGATGGACAGAGGAGGATGTATGCACACATTTAACACAATGGAAACGCATCAGCACCGCGAGTCTCAGCCTGTCCTCTGGCATCCACTGACGGGCGTCTTTTCCAAAGGGTCTCTTATCCAATGGTGTTGGCACTTGGACTTGTGATACCTCTTTATCAGCAAATACCTTTTTCTTCCAGAATGGAAAACAAACTAGAAATTAAATACATCCAATATTGATGCTTCAGTTCCATCAGTCACCCATGAGAGAATGAATTTAATTGTTAATACATTTATTTCCGTGTGATTCTTAATAAAACACTTTCAAAACATTCTGTACATTTCAAGCCACTAGGAAATGCGTACATTCTATAAATGTGATTTGTTGGGATGAGGTGCCAAGGTGTCTCTGTACAAAGATGTACAATATGTACAGTCACTCACTGTAAGTGCAAGCTGTGCAAAGCAGTCTAAGAACACTAACTCATGCCAAAGCTTAAAAACATTTCAACACATGACTAAAGCTTGAAACTGCATTGTATTTTTTTTCCTGGGCAAATGACTATGAACAAATACATGTATATGACATATAGACTCGGCTCAGTCGGCACCGTGCGGCTGACTAGGCACAGCGCAGGGCTGCTCGCTAGGCCTCTCTCTTCAGGGAGCTACTCTGCCACACTCAGCGGTCGTCTCATCACTGAGCTGCTGCCACTGGCTTTGACTGAGCCACGGGGCCACTAGGAGATTTAAATTTGGGGAGATAAAGGCCAAACTTGTTTTCAATGCCAGCGAAAGTGGCTGTGGCGAGTCTGTATCCACCGATGTGATCGGGATTGGCAGGAGGAAGGTCTGCGATGCGTGACTTAGGTGTGGGTTCGGAGCCAGAGGGTTTGCTGTTGGGAGGACAAAGCTAACGGTTAGCGTGCTCAGGACTGAGGATGGCACACAGCTCAATATCTCAGTCTGACTCACATGCCGCGAAGAAGAGTATTATTTGTCCAACTATTTCCTTGTCATCTGTGCTGCAGTAACCACAATTTATAGAGGCTTTGAAAACAACACATTCACATATCTGATTTAGGAGTCAATGGTGTCAATTTCAATGCTTATAAACTTATATAAACAGATCCTTAGAAAATAGATCAGAAGAAAATACACTCAAATATTAAAACTTTCTGAGAAGTGGGACTATGAGTGACTTTCTTTTTTACTTTACTATTTTCCAAATTTTCTGCACAATGCATAAACTTATCATAAAAAGTTACATTTTCTCTTTGAGAATTTAAAACACTAACTTTTAAAATAGTAAACTCATGAAGGTTATTGCTAAAGTGTTTGAAGAGACATAAATGTAATTCTTAGTTTTACAGAATGTGAAAGCATAGAAAAGCCTGGAGTGTAAGATTGGTCTTCCTTGTACAAGTCCCTCTATTTGGTTTATGAGGCGAAGACTCAGATTCAGGGTTTATCTTACACTGAAAAGCTGGTAATTGCTTGCTTTGGGTATAATCTCTCCCACACAGCAAATTCAACAAGTTGCTGCTCTTCTCTCCAGCACAAGCTTCAGGTACGAAGCCTCGAGAGGCCCAATTCCTGGCCTGGATCTCACCAGTGAGTATGTCCACAAGCATCACCTCTCTCTGAGCCTCTTCGTTTAGTTTGCAATAGATTAGCTCTAAGGACATCCAAACCTATTCCAATAATAAGTTATAGTGAATAATGAAATCTCAGAGGTGTGAGGGCTTAACTAAATCTTTGAAAGAACGGTCACAAAAGTGTTACTAATACAAACTTTCATTACTTCTGGTGAAATCTAAATAATAAGAACTTAAATCCATGAAGCTCATATTGCTTACACTAAAGAAAGGTACCTATTCACACATTTTATGTTGCTCCTCCCTAAACTTTCCCCAAGTAGCTGCTGAATACTGTGTGTGATGTCGCCATGTCGCGATCTCCACTCCCTAACGTGAGGCTTTTGGATGTAAGCCCGCTGTTTGACTGACATGCACTGGTCCTCTAGGCTTCTCTGTCCTTTCAGTTCCAAAACTGTCTCTGTAGGCAAAGCCCTATTGGTTTGGGTGCTTTCATTACAAAGGTGTTCAACAGCTGCACTTACAGGCCTCCAAAGTCAACGTAAAACCACCGCTGGAGAAGTTCATAGGTGACCAAGGTAACACCAAACTGGGGAGAGGACCGAAACACTCGGGCTGAAAGAGAGATGGGAGCGGGCGCTTAACACCAGACTGACGCAAAACCGACTTGTGGTAATGGGGGAGGCCCTTAACACCAGCCAGCTTCTCCACACAGCCCAGCCTCTCCTCACACCCCAGCCTCTCCTCACAGCCCAGCCTCTCCACACGGCCCAGCCTCTCCACACGGCCCAGCCTCTCCACATGGCCCTGGCCCTACCTGCTGTTCCTTTCCAAAAAGCTGAAGGCCCTTCTTCCCGGAGTATCTTCCTGAAACAGTCGATGACACCACTGTATGTCGTCTGGCCAGCACGGGCAGCCACTTGCAGTCTTGTCTTGATGACATCAGCCGGGGTCACCAGAGAAGCGGCAGGCACACCTTTCAGGAGAAAGACACATTTAATTAATCCAAAGCACCTTACAAGGGACAGAAATACTACTGCTAGCATCGAACAATTAGAAACTTCAACTGTTCGAATTCATAGCCTCCTAAATAGATGCCTGGGCAATAATGTAAAAGGGATACAAACTCCCAGTAGCTGTGTCAGTGTGGTCAGGGTGAATTCTCTTTTCTTTCTAAATTAGGAAAATACTCTGTATTATATGCTCTTAAAGAACTGAGCTGGGGGGAAGGAGGAGAAGGGAGGGGAAGGCAGCAATATTACTGGGATAATTTAGGTTTTAATTACTTTACCTCCTTTTTTCTTAAATAAGACGAAGTGTTTTCATTTATAATAAGAAATGAGGATGATGTCAATTTAATGAGCTCCTAAATGTATCTGACATCAAACTAGGGTGGTGGTGGTGTGTGTTTTTTTAAAATATATTTTATTGATTTTTTACAGAGAGGAAGGGAGATGGATAGAAAGTTAGAAACATCGATGAAAATCATTGATCAGCTGCCTCCTGCACACCCCCCACTGGGAATGTGCCCGCAACCAAGGTACATGCCCTTGACCGGAATCGAACCCGGGACCTTTCAGTCCACAGGCCAATGCTCTATCCACTGAGCCAAACCGGTTCCGACATGTGGTGGTGGTGTTTTTTGCCAGTTCTTGTCACCTTATCGTTGTGAGGTGAATAGCAATACTCGGACCCCTCCCGTTGGGAGCTGCCTGTGACTGCTTATGACAGAAGTCATCACAACCGGAGCAGAGGAGGCCCAGCAACTGGTTAAGGGACATTAGGGGGCCTGATTGCGCAAGGCCTCATCATCCATCCCCTGTGCCGAGCTCCCATGGCGAGATCGACCAGCAGCAGGGACATACAAGATGGCCTTCAGAACCACCTTTTCCTTATAAAGCAAACCAGGAAACACAGGAGCCAGGCGACCCTCCTCGGGGGAGAGGCTCACAGCTTCACCACAGGGCTCTGCTCCTTACGCAGCTGAAACTGGGTAACTGCCTGTCTTTCAAATGTTCTGAATTCTGAATATTCTCAGTGCCTGCCAGCAAAGCTTCATGGGTAAAAATTAGACAAATTCATCTCTCATTCTGAAAACTGACATCAATTGTCTGTGGGTGAGAAGTTGGTCCTGACAGTTCTGTGGAGTGTTTACTTGGCTCCATCAGGCACTGGCACAGGCCTGTCTGCGATTACACTGCTCTGGCTGGTTATGCTGCTGGTTATGAAAGAAGACAAAGGGAAACCTGCTGGCCCCAATTAAAACGGGGAGACTTTGGTGAGCACCATGGGGCTGGGTGAGCACTCAGTGCCGAGGCTGAGCTGGTAGCTTTACTGCCTCTCAAATGCGCATGCAATTGACTGAAGTTCCAAATGCCAGAAGAGAGGGGACTTCCTGAACCCCAAATAAGGGCTCAAAGCTCCCTGGGAGAGTTTCTTTTGTTATTAATCCTTACCTGAGGGGTTTTTTCCATTTATTTTGAGAGAGAGTGGAAGGAGGGAGAGACACAGACTGGTTGCCTTCTACACATGCCCCAACCAGGGCCAGGAATGGAGCCTGCAATGGAGGTGTGTGCCCTTGACCAGAATTGAACTCGCAAACTCACAACCCTTCCGTCCGTGGGGTGATGCTCTATCCACGGAACCAAGCTAGGAAGGGCTGTGGGAGCGTTTCCTAATCATCACGTCATTCCCTGTCATCCAGGGTGAAAAGGACATGCACAAGTCAACGTTTATGTTTACATTGCCAATGTGTGTCATATGTACCGAACAGTTGGACGGTCGGTCAGTCAGTGGACAGTTAATTGGTCACTTAGCCTTTTATATATATAGATTACTATGCTGGCCACATAGGGAAGGCAAGGGTGAACAGAATGAAACCTCTCCCCTTAAGGAGCTCCAAGTCTAGTACAGAAGGTAAAACTATACAAACCCCCATTAATAAAAGGCAGAAAGCATTAAGAGGCAGAGAAGAGATGCCAATCAAGGACAAGGTGGTTTGCTGGGGAAGCATTGCTTCCTCTGATCTAAGGACGATGGCAGAAGACACAGGAACATCTTTATGATAAAAGCTCAAGTTTGAGGCAAATCTTATAGATTCCAATATGCTAGAAAGTGAGGGCATACCAGACCTATGCATCAGCATGAGATACAACAAAGCAATGGTTTGATAAATAACTTTTCCACCTTAACACTTAGCTTGGCTGCACCCAACGTTTGAGGGGCACAGAAGGCTAAGGAACACGTTGATGATGAAAGCCCAATTTAGATGGGCAGATCTAATTTGGCTCCAAGTTGCTAAGCGGCATTAAGCTGTTTATCCACATTATGCAAATGTAATTAACTCTCATCAGAACTACAGCACATCCCACAAAGGAGTAAAAGCGATCACATTTAAACTAAGTCAGATACGAACAATAACCCTTCCAGAAATAAAGAGGGAAAGTACACAGAGATTCTGTGCTTCTTAAGGAGAATGGGGGAGGGTTCTTTTGGCTTAAAAAACAACTGTGTTACCTGCCATGGCTCCAGCTGCCAGCAGATTCGCACCTCCCACGCGTCCGTTTTCATCAGCCAGAAGTAGTTTGCAATGAGCATACACAGGAAAATAGATGGCAGAGAAGGGAATGTCTCGGAGGAAACACGCTTTGGCACCCTGTCACACAGTGAGGAAACAGAGCAAAACAGTTGTTCAAACAGGGTGTGAGTGTCCCCACGGCGACAAGCCTGAGGTGCCCCGCAGACAGCACTGGGATTGATGTGGAAGGGAAGTGGGGAGAACTGAACTGGTGGGACACAGAGAAGCTTACATGACTCAAAGCTTGAGAAAGGCTGATGAAGTCCAGAGTCCTATAGTTAGTTAACTGGACAATAACATCATTTTGACAACTAAGAATTTTCTGGCATTTCCAGTATAGAAAAATTCAATTCTCAAACCTCCAGGCTTATTCTGTTTGGCTTTGATGGGGTTGGAGGTAGAGGTGGCAGGGAATAGACTTGGAGACCCAATATTAATAGCTTGATGCCAAAGCAGCCAGCAAAGGCAGCACCAAAACTAATAAATTACCAATTCAATCCACACCGGCTAGAGCCCGTGAGAGTCAGGTAAGAAGCTATGGGCAGTGGCAGTGGGAAAAGAAGGGGTAAAAAACCACCAATGTTCCTTTTTCCCATGTCCTAAATAGCACAGGACTGGGGGGACCCAGATGGAATATTTCAGCAGGAGGTTTCCATGGGGGTAGAAAGCCACCAGGGACAGTCTGTCTCAGTGACTAAGGTCACACATGTTCTACTGCCCAGGGCTTTACAGAGCCAGGTGAATAGTCCAGCTTTGGTACTTAGTTCCCTAATGGCTATTTTTAAAAATATAATTTTATTGATTTCAGAGAGGAAAGGAGAGGAGGAGAGAGATAGAAACATCAATGATGAACCATTGATCGGCTGCCTCCTGCACACACTCTACTGGGAGTTGAGCCCGCAACCCAGGCATGTTCCCTGACCAGAAAGTTGAACCAAAACCTCCTGATTCACTGGTTGACGCTCAACCATTGAGCCACAGGCCAGACTTTAATAGCTATTTTTAAAGGACACCTGAATTGGCCCTGGCCAGTGTTGCTTAATGGTTAGAGTGTCCACCCACCCACTGAAGGGTGGCAGGTTTGATTCCCGGTCAAAGGCACATACTTAGGTAGCAGGTTCGACCCCAGGGCACGTGCAGAGGCAATGAAAATTAACAGCAACAACAGAAAAAGACATCACCTAAAATGTTTTTAATTTTTTTTTTTAATTCATAAATTCAGTCTCAAAGGGAATTCCAAAAAGGATGGGAATTGGGGGTGGAAGGGACAGAATGTGTACAAAACTCAAGATAGACATCACTGCTCTACTGGTCTCCTGAGAGCCCTGTCTCTGAGTCTAATCCACAGAATTTCTCATTCTAATTTGCTGCTCCAGAAGCCAACTGACACATTTACGCGGTGACGGATCTATAAATAAATCAGATGTTGTGGAAACTCAGTTGTCTATAGCAGCCAAGTTTACGTATCCCTCCTTATACCAGGCAAAAGAATGAAAAGAAATACTCTTCCTTGTTTAAGAGAAATAACAGCTTCTGCTCCATTACATCTGATCTGTAATAATGGGAATAAGTATTCCTGCAGGGAAGGAATCTGTTGACTGGCATTTTGCTAAAGTACAATACACTCTATTTTTTTAATGGAATTCATTATTGACAAATCCCACCACTTAACTTCTTAAAGGCCCGAATCCTACCAAAGTCGACTACTGTTTCACTGTGGTCAAATTATTAGGACAAAGAGAAGCTCCTACTGGGAAGATAACAATAGAGATAACTCAGACTCAAAATAAACATAAGACCATCTAGAAGTCCTAAACCAGCCAAAGACACCACCAAAGAAACTTTTCCCAAGCCCGTCATCCAATAAAGGCCGTGAGCCTCAGCCAGCAGGTCTGCAGCCCGGCCCTGCCAGCAGGTTCACCGGAGCCTGCGGGTGACACCAGGAGCTGTGCTCGTATAGCTTCTGCCTCTGATGCACCTGTCCTGATTTTTCCTTTTGTTTGATTTTCTGCTCTAGGAACTACCCTGCTGGACAAGACAGCTTTTCCTTTTTTTTTTTGGGGGGGGGGGGGTAGGAGGGGAGACTGGTTTCCACTTTCTTTCACATTTCTGTGGAGACCATCATAACCGGAGGGAAACTACCCACCTTATACAAACCAAAAAGTCCCAGGTCTCGGAGCACATTGAGGGCACTGACCCTGGGCCCTGTGGTGATCTCCCCAGCCACCTGCAACCGAATCTTTACAATCTCCAGTGGGTTGGTAAAGATGACCTGAGAGCCGCCAGCCTGCAGAAAAGGGAGGAGAGAGAAGCAGATTTCCAAATCAGAGCCTGACTGGCAGTGTAATAAGAAAAAATCCAAAGAAGCCTCCAAGTTGTACCCACTCTACGTCTCCCTCCTCACCAGGAAATGGGAGCACAGCTTTGGCCAGTTCACAGGGATGGTCCCAAACTGCTCAAGCCAATCTATGGCTTGTTTGGACTTGAAATGTCAAGTGTTTCTCAGACCAGTCTTTCCAGGGTCAGCCCGGCTATATACAAAATGGCAAAACTAATAAACTCATTTGAACCCAAAAGTGAAGCCAAATGTGGCAGTGGGGAGCTCCGATGAGAGGGAAAGAGATGCTTGGTGTCTCTTAGGAACTGGAACAAAAATTCGAATCTACAATAGTTTCTTTCCTCATCTCAGCAACTATTCGCTTTCTTTAGCTCAGCCACCACTTCCTTGGGTTGTAGAACAAGTAAAACAATGTTGCCCACGGAGGTGCCTTAAGTGAGATGGGAAGTCTCTTCTGGTTCAAATTTAAAATGTATTATCCTGAGCAAATCTCTACACAGCAATGCCCACACAAAAGGAGAGAATTCATTAAGACAATGTCAGTATTATTTCAACACAAAACCAGAAAAATTCTTCAAGGCAGAGCTGGGAAATGAATACCCAATTCCCATGAGTACAACACAGACAAGTCAAAGCCATGTCCATATCTCAAGTGCCTGGTAGACATCTGAACTTGGATAATGCGGGTATTTGCATCTGAAATCCGTTAACTAGTAGAGGGGGGAAAAAGAATGTTTAACAAAACTGTTATCAACTCCTTTTCTGGTTTCTATAAGAAAGAATGTATATATACATGGATATATAAAAATGAATACGCTTATAAAAACTTAAATACATATCTCTATTCATGGAGTGAAAAAAGTCTCGTTTGCACAGCTTCATTTCACCTGTAGCTATTTACGTTATATACTCATAACCATATTGACATAATTATCTATAATAACGAAAGGCCGGATGCACGAAATTTATTCAAGGGGCTTGGCCCTCACAGCTGTGGCAGCTCGCCTTGGCCCTTGCAGGGCTAGCTGCAGCAGTTTGCCTCAGCTCTCGCAGCCCCAGCTTCGTCCAGAAAGTCATCCAGAAAGATGTCTGAAAGGTCGTTCGGCTGTCCGGTCTAATGAGCAAATTATGCTTTTATTATTATAAAGGCACAATATGCAAATCAACCAAATGACCGAACAGCAGAACACTGTCCAGACGACCTTACAAACAACCACACTATGATATAAACTAGCACAAGGCTAGTCAAGGCGGGTGTGATGCAATTGATCGTGGGGCCAGTTGCCAGCAGCCAAGGGAAGGAAAGCCCCGATAGGCACTGATCACCAGCCAGGCCTAGGGACCCTACTAGGGGGCCCCCTTGCAAGAATGCGCTGAGGGACACCCCCCCCCCAATGCACAAATTTCATGCACCGGGCCTCTAGTATTATATAATCATAACTTCACTGTAATAGTATATCACATGTGAAACAGGAAATGTATGCCCTTTGGGACACTGTAACAACTTCATTCTATCTTCACTCACATTCATGTTCAGTTTTCTAAATAGCACAACCCTCCCAGACCTCCTTCCAAGGGGCACAAATAAGTCCCAGCCCATTCTCCTAACTGGCCTGGGGCTATAAGCCCCCAACGACTCCAGTTCCAATCCTGACCCTTCACTCCCATTAACATCCACAACTGCCAACATTGACACTAGATTCCTTCCCCCTTCCTGGGAAGCTATTGTCCTGGATTCCCCAGGGCCCGAATCCCTTTTGTCCACCAAGCGGAAAGGTGCAGCAATTTGCTGTCTCTCTCTGGGTTTTGTGCAACTCCCAGCTCACACAATCCAGACCACTGGCACACAGGTCCCCGGGTGACTGACTGACCCAGTTTTACATGTTGAGTTGCCTGTGTTTCTTTTAATCTGTTGCACTACAAGCAGGAGGAAACATTTCAATGTTTCAATCTAAGCAAACAATACTTTCAAAAAGATTGATGGGTGAAAAATTATGTTAACATGATAATCCAAATAATTGCTCCTGTAGCTAGTATTAAAGACCAAACCAATTGATAAAGTTTGCTACTTCTTTGAAATCTCTTATTGAAAGAATGGTTGCAAAGACTATCTTTGGGGAAATGTACTTTATGTTCTAAACTAAAGCAGATTAAAAAATAATAGTAGAAACACAAATTTTTATTATAATCCCCAAAATTTGCCAGCCACCAGACAATGTCGACTCCTGTTGCCACTTGTTAAATGTGGATATTATGTTTAAGTAAATATAAAGCCCTTTTGTGGTTTTAATCATAGTAAGTTATCCCACAGAGCAGTAGTTCCAACCAGCATTCCCCACCCCAGTTTTCCCCTCCTCTTCTCTCACAGACCCTTTTGGAAATAATTGCCAGTTTACTGAGATTTGCACTCCTTTAACAACTCTTCAGATTTCTTTCTGAGTGTAACAGGCTTCTTATAAGAATTGTACAATTAAGAGAAGGAAATGACTACATTTTAAAACAAACACATTAACTGTCGTATGCTTTGAAGACTTGTTACCTAGAACACATACTAAGAGTCAATGGTGCATTGGACAGAACCCCAAGACTAAACTACAAGTGAGCAGGTAGCAAGGCACACATCCACAAGTGTTTCACACCTGTGTGCTCTACTGCACTGATGGAGAAAAACTGCTAACAATGCATAGTATGTATATGTTTTTAAAGTTAATAAACATTTTATTTATTTTTATTTTTTTTTAATATATTTTATTGATTTTGTACAGAAAGAAAGGGAGAGAGAGAGAGAGTTAGAAACATCGATGAGAGAGAGTCATCGATCAGCTGCCTCTTGCACACCGCCTACTGGGGATGTGCCCGCAACCAAGGTACATGCCCTTGACCGGAATCAAACCCGGGTACCTTCAGTCCCCAAGCCGACACTCTATCCATTGAGCCAAACCGGTTTCGGCTAAAGTTAATAAATATTTAAAAAAAAAACATTCTATAGTAGGCCTAGGAATATGTAGGCAAATAATACCCAGAATACCCAGAAATACTAAATAATTTTAGAAAAAAATAAAGATTGCAATTTGTCTTAAACTCTGAATATAACACTTAAAAGGAAACCTATATGGCAAATATGCAATCTCCTTTTTTAAACTCTGAGATTGATCACTATCTCATATATATTAAATTCAAGAGGGGGAATGGGGGAATAAAATCTTCAATTAATTCAACCACTCTGCTAAGAAATCTAGTAACAGAACTAGGATTATAATAATGTTATCACTTCCTTAACTTAGTGCTTCCTCTCTGAGAAACAAATACAAGAAAATATAATTTCTCCTCTACTTTAGACTCTATTAATTATAAATGATATTATTCATTTAACAACAGCTTTTCATAGGAAGGAAAAAACACACCGAAAAATGACACTGCTTACAGCAAACATCAACAATGAATATACAAAATTTCAGAAGTGTAAAATTGTGAAAGAAAAATATGGTAGCTTTTCATATTTTTATATACTTTTATATAAAGATGCTAATGTATGCTATTTTGACAGCAACAAAATTAAACAGAAAAAATTTTTAAATTCCCAATAAGAAAAGAGTTAAGTAGAAACAATTAAATGCTCTTATTCAAATAAAAAGATTTGGTAATATAATTGTGCCAATGACATAAACAGAACATACAATATTAGGTACATATTGATCACAAATATGTCAAAATTTACTGAAATTTTTAAAAATCACAATGGTTTAGAGATGAAAACATTGGTTGCCTCCTGAAAAGAGAAATAACTGGGAGAAAGAATTTTCAAAGCACCACTGTACCTTTTAAATTCTGAATTAAATGAATGTATTAACTACCCCAAAACCAAGCCAAACCAAACTAAAAAACCTCCCAGAAAATAACAGAACTGGCCTTAGAATCAGTGGCTTCTTTTAGAGACTAGGTCTTTTTTCACACATTCTTCCCTGTGGTAAATTAATTTATGCACATTAAATGCTTTTTAAAAACCAGTAAATGCCAGTTTTCTGTGGATCCAAAGCTTTAACAAAGCTTATCTACATCTTGGCAACCGTGAATAATGTTGCAATGAACAGAGGGGTGCATATATCTTTGCAAATAAATATTTTTAAATTTGTCAGGTATAAGCCAGAAGAGGGATTGCTGGGTCATATGGTAGCTCTATTCCTAATTTTTTGAGGAAACTCCATACTGTTTTCCATAGTGGCTGCACCAATTTACATGAACGAGGGTCCCAATAATTTTTTTTTTAGAAAGCTTATCTACCTCTGTATATATGAAAAGCAACGAAATCTAGTCAAATATAGCTAGAGATTTGAAATAGATATATAAAAGTTCATATTAAAGCATCATAACACAGCTACATGCCTTAAATGAACACTGTCTAATTTGTCATCTTGCCACTTCTGGTACTGATGCTTATATAGATAACAAACCAGGCTACACAATACCTTTGTTGAGTTTTTTCACTCACCAAATCACCAAATTAGCTTTTAATTCTCTGCAAAATTTGCCTCTTTGAATTGTTGCTTATAATTTTGAGGAGAGGCAAGCCTTAATATTAAAACTGACTTAGATGTCTTTATTTTTCAGTATTGTTGTTTGTTTAGAACTGAAATACAAATGACACAATAAAGGGAACAAATTCATTTTGAATGAGAGTTACCCATATACAATAGAAATGGAAAAATGGAAAAACTTCCATTTAATCTTGTGTCTTTTTTTTTTTTTTTTTAATGAGAAAATAAACCAACTAAAGCTGACAGCAAAAGTAAGGAGGGAAAGAATGCAATATTGAGATGTCACCACACCTCTGATGTGCCTGCGGCCACGGGCTGCACACAGGATTAGGCCTGTTCACCCTCCTGCCCTCACAATCCCACCCCAGGGCAGAGTCCACAAAGAGGCTGGCGACCTGGTCCTGCCTGTACCAA